AGTTTTCCATCTGATTAACACCACCCTGAAGTCAAAGACAATACTTTTCTCGTTAGGCAATATCTCTGCGTAGTTGGGCCACTGCGGTTCCCACCACGTGATGCATTCACATTAACCTAATTAGTAAACATGGCATGTGAAATTGACCCACCTCTATCATCAAAGTGACAAGGTTACTAAAAACAGTGTCTCTGGTTATTCAGGCGTCAGTTTTTTGCCAACAACTGTCAGCAACCATGGCAATATGACTACCACATGTCTCAAACGAAGCTAAACAGCTTTATCTCCGCGCCCTTTTTACATCCAAACTCAGAGACGAGAGTACCAGTGTTCACTGCAAGATGTTTCACCCATACAAAACGTCAGAGGACGGGGCATTCGAAGGTATATGGAGCTGTGTGGGCTTTAAAACTAGTGATCATTCCCAAAGTTTTCTTTCCGCATGATAAGTCACAAGAAAATTAACACGGTCACTCAGCTGCACTGTTCCTGAGCGTCTGAAAAACTATATGTTTGTAGTTCACACATCCGGAAAAGAAAACCTTGCCAGGTTAATGAACCAAAGAACTTTCTGTATGTTCGGCATGGTTCTCCGTATAATATTTAATTTGCACTGCGCCTCTTGGAAGATTGTACAAACAATTAAGTTTTGTGATACTCTTGGTACCATACCATACCACCTCAGCGTAGGAGCGTAGGACCCTGAAATACTGGATGGTCGCCCATTCATTCGGTAATTTTCCTTTAGCGGCTGCTACTTCCATCCGTTCCTTTATAGTTATACTCCTCAAACCCGTGAATTCATGTTCTAGCAACTCTCACATTACATTCCACGGTTACAGTAATACATTTGATCGTCCTTTACAGTTGAATACGCACCAAAATTAACTATACTCGTCCTTTACGGATCACAAATGACGTCTGTGAAGAACTTTCCAAAGCCCATTCATCCATTAGTTAGTCGTTTCGGAGTGATCAGGCTGCGCGCGCTGTACTGAACCATGGTGTGAATTGGACAAAAACAGGTTCCATGTCGCCATCCTTTTTGGTGACACTAGCAGTTACTCTGCGGTATCAAACACGAGCACTGGTTCATCGGTTGGAAAATAACAAGGCTGTCAATTATTAGGTGGGAAACTCACTCGCTTCATTCACACTGCATGCACAAACTGGAAGCTAGGGTAACATATACGGTCCATAACATAATGACCGTAACCGGTTTTCCATCTTTTCTCTCGATGTTCGTCACCCAGGAGAGCTTCTTTCTGTCATCAGGAACAGAAATGTCACTGCAAATCATCTGGACGACAACCAAATACTAACAGGAGCATTCGATTGTGTTTAGTGTTCATATCTCACCATCCCTCTTTTGGTTTCAGTTAACCTTCATGACTGATAAAAAGCTTCGCTCTGTAGGGTCAAAAATAAGGGCAAAGAAGTTATTCGGAACTTCGACAACTATGTGCCATTAGAACCATCTACATGTTGCAAGTAGCGGGGTCAGTTCAATGCGGCCATTTGCGTGGTATGAAATGAAAAGAACCGTGCAAACGAGTTGTGCTGTTCTGGAGCCTAACGATGTCGCGCCATCAGTTAACGCACGGCTGAAAACAGCAAAAAGTAAACAGGTATAAATTCCGATGACGGAGTTCCATATAAAGCTGCCACCTTTGGAATTCCCAACTCAGTTAAATGTGTACTTTAGTGGAAGGATACAGCATGATGTTCGTTGTGTGTTAATTACGGAAGACTTTTCTATTCGATACAAGGCTTCATGATAAACCCTCGCTTTACCTTTACTTAGTTCGAGAAACAAGGGTGGATCGTAGGCCTAAAAGGGGAACAGTTTGTTTGTGTATTCTGAAAATAGTCAAAATGATCAGCAGTGAACAAAGGGACATTAAGTTTAGGTAAACGTTCCAACATAAAGTACACCTATTAGAATGTCCCCATCCTTTGTGGAGATGATGAATCAGTTAACCGATTACAGACCACCATTGATTAAAAAACCCTGACGTGTACACAGGAGAACGAATAAACCGCTCGTCCATTCAGATACGTTGGTGTTTGCCAGACTATTCTTGGTGGACAAAGAGTTTACTGTCAGCTACTCGGGTTTCGAACAACCACCGTAAAGCTGCGACTGCACATTTGTGGAACCCAGACTTGTCTAAATTGTTCATTACTTCCGCGATTTCTTCCTCTGGTCAGTACAGAGTGGGTAATTTCAACAGACTATCAGACTCGGCGTCCACATCACCCGCCTCGGAAAACCTTGACGGCCATTTCGCCCAGAGTGTAGTTCACGACTACTCAGCTAATACTCCTGTATCTCAAAGATAAGCAGCCGATTAACGTTCAAAGCATGGTAGTTTGCTCCGTCGCCTGCTGTTGTGCAGCAGTACACATAAGGCGCACGACACAGCAGTTGTGCAAGAGAATAGAGAAGCTGACAACCGGATCAAAGAGGTGTATTACTAGTGCTATACTAGTCATGTGATCAAGCTAAACAACGCTTTCCGAATAATGTACCAAGCACCTAATTACCTTACAAGATCCGTTCAATATTAGTCTGATCACAGCTAAGGTACACCTAGTAATAATTCGCACGCGCGGAGTTTTCCATGGTCTGTTCATATGACCACTGCCCACGCAGGCCACGTGAGCCGTTTTCGCACTTTTACCCTCTGAATCAAATTTATCCCTGTTATACTTGTATGGATCGCTCGCTTTTGGTTTTGTAACCCCCAGATCTGCATTGGCCAGATTAAGGGTTCGCGAGCACATTAATGTTCGCCAATTTGTGTTCCGAATTGTACAATAACTTTACTATATAAACAATTTCATTCTTTATCCCCCTGTATTCAGTGAATACACAGCTGTTGAATTGCAGGCAATCCGAGAATGCTGGTTTGAAGTTAGCTATTCAGGTCTGTCTGTATGAAAGTTACGGGTGGTACGAAGGTTAAATGGTTGACTGCTTCTCACTTTGCTACTTAGACCATGGACTGTAATTGTTACGAATAGCCAGTTGGCCAACCGTCCCGTTCCTCTTTCTAAATGCTTCCAAGATACATGCTACTCACGCAGCCACTGCTGGGGACGATCTGTTGAAGCAAAAGTGGGTTTCCGAGGGTTTAGCCGAGTTGATTGGTCATAGACTACCTGGGCAAGCTGACGAATTCCTGAGTTTACATAGAGAGGACAAGTAAAGGAGTGAGGGTCGTTTTGGGGGACCTACGGCGGCGCCTTAGTTACCCTGCGATTAACCCGTTTTGGTGGATCCCCTAAATGTTGCACAAAAAGAAGTAACCCTGCCCACTTGACTGAACCACAAGTACTCGCAAACTTTCGGACCGAGCCAGAACATACACTGGAAAGGAAGCTAGCGAACACCATAGATCATAGTTCAAATATCAGAAACGCATAGCTTCTTGTAAGTGTTGATTGGTGAGGCTGTACAACGTTCCCACACGGCAGTCGTTGCATGTCCGTTCACTTCCTAGATTTTGTGAGCGTCGGACAACTCATTCAGGTCATTCAGTAACGAAAATCATTCCGCAAAGAGCCCAAAACAGAAATGCTCGTCTCTATGAAACATTCGCAAAAACCGATATCTTGGGCAAGTAAAGATGGAAACTGCGTCAACTTCTTGAAATTTCAGCAAGCCCATTGAGGTACCATAGTGCAAACCGATGGGTGTGAACGTGTTACATGATGATCAGCTTAGTAGAGCGTACAGAATGTTGGGCGGTATAGTTCAGGCATTAAGTTAAGTGGCTGTCCTTTCCTGTATGTACAAGGCACCAGGCCTGCAAGGACTTTCAATTGCTTTACTCAAAGACGATGGAAGGCCGTTTGTAAAAATTCACTGTATTGTTTGAGCTTGTGAATCTCTTAAAATTACCCACTGTGCTGGATGCCATCACCATCGTCCCCACTCACAGCGTCCAGACTGAAATTTATACCAGTGCATGAGTTTGATCAGTTGTGTCTGGCTTCATTGTAGTCAGGGCTGTATGTATGGCAAGAATCAGTCCGTCAAGAAAAGGATGAATTTCATTCTATCTAAGTGTATGGGTGACGTATCTTGCGACAACTTCTGATACTACGCCGCAAAAAGGCAATTTCTTTTGCCATCCCTGGACATTGACAGTGTTTCTGACGATATTGTCAGAGCTGCACTTTGGAACGGTTTATTGGTAGCAGAGCCTCACTTTCCTGTACTCCCATAATTCAAGCGGAGACGAAAATTTCTGCATCTTTTCTATCCCCAGCAGTGTACGTTAGGGTTGCTATATTCTAACTTGGTATAACTTCACTATCACTCATATGCTGGAAGATACTTGTGCGAACTGCAGTCCGGGATCCTACTCCGAGATTCGGAGCGTGGGGATGATGAGGTACTAATCTGGTGCAGTGAGCTTGAAGCTTATGATATAGCTCGTGGACTGACAGCTTTCAACCGTTTTGGTGTTTCACTTCGTAGAAAGGTGAAGTTCTATTAGCTACTCCAGCCGCCCGGTCCCACACACAATGGAGCTTCATCCCAAGTTGTACACCGTAACATATCTGGGAAACTGTCCCAACTACCAGCGGATGAAATAGGCAGCGGTAGAGCGGTAGCGCAGTGACATCAGGCTTGAATGGCGCGTGTACGATGCCTCAGTACGCGCTGTTACTATGCCGTTCTGAAATTTTGGCTCTCCGGGCTGGCACCTCTTTTCATCAGTGGCTACGAGACATTGGTGGATAACTAACTGGTCGGTGCATTTTCTGCGCATGCTTGGTCGCGGATTATCTCGGCGAAAGTCGCCCTACAGCACAGGATTTGATCGTCAGGCACGAAGATAGAAAATGCGTTAGCACAAATGAACGAAAGCCACCACGGCAGTATTAGAACCAGTTGGTTCATTCCGGTGCTTCGTTGAGGACCTATAAAATGACATTTGGTTAAAGACAATGAGTCCGCACCTATGGTGTTAGTTGTTTTTTTAAAGATCCGAACCTGAAGAACCAGTCGGCCATTTTGGTATAATCACTTTTTTGCTACGCGCTGTAGTAAGCATGCATATTCATATGGATAGTTGCATTCGAATCGGATTGATTGCTAAGTAGTGGCTAAAACGTCGGACACCCGCACAGTTGGCTAACCACAAACGATTTGCGTGGAGCCGAATGTTCTCGCGAGACATTCATTAGTGCATCCTCGGGGTACTGGTAACCGGTTTCAGAAATCACGCAAAACACCCCGGGGTATGTCAACGCTGTTAGCCGTTATCTTAATCCACGATATAGGTTCGTGGAGGATGTGCATATTGGTTGCAGAGGGCTTGATTAAAGATTCACATGTCGGTGAACCAAATGGATGATTTCTCGTGCCAAGACCGGTCATTAACACCGATCCTGAAAGGTAAGGAAAAGTAGACGTTGGATGAATAGAAAGTTAGTGCAATAGGAAAAGGAATGATGACCTCAACTATGAGTTGAATACAGGCTTCAGTCGACCTAGTTGGGTCGGCCAATCACAATATGTCCAAATTACGGGGAAAGATTGACAAGTAAAGCGACAACAAGAACCAGGCGACAGATAAAAAATAAAGCAAGCCCAGAGGAAATTGACAGGACGAAGTGGCAGGCTAGTACATGATCATTAGTCAAGGTAGTCAGTGTAAATGCAGATTTCCGGAATGATAGAACTCACTAAGAAATAGAAATAGCCATGAAGTGGTAGTAACCACAGGAGACAACGAATGGCAAAAAACGAACAAAGGTACACAAGGTATATAAAATCTGGAAACAGTTGTTTTTGTTGTTGCTGCTGTGGGTCCGATTCAGGATGAAGTAAGCCAAATCAAAAGCTGAAAGACAACAACACGTTGAATATTATTCAACATACAGCAGAATGGAGCGCAGCTATTCAGTTGAACGAAACCGGAGAGAGGTATGATGTTCATCGAAACAATCTCGGGCATAAAGGTAGACAAATCCCTTACACAGGCATCGAACGGTACACCGATAGATGACGAAATGCGGGAAATACTGGAATGAGAACTATCACTTGTGACCAGTGTCGTTGTTGGGTTCATGTGAGATAGTTGTTCGCATTTTTAACACGTGGGTGATCCAGTTGGAGAGATCCATCGATTTGGCTCAAACTCTGGAGGGAAGCAGAATACGAGGTCTCAGTGAAGGAGATAGGAAAATGGAATAATTCCATGCAAGAAGACAGCTTTGGAAACAACAATGAGTAGAAAAGAATACACTGCAGTCGGTTCACCGGGTAGCAAGCAACAGAAATCGCTGGTGTTCGAGGACAAACGCAACTAAAGCCTGAAAGTAAGGACCCAAAGAAAGACTCTTGGTTTCGCCACTCGATCTTTCAACCATTGGCTGTTACCTCGCTGCAAATTTGACTGAACCATATGTGGTATGTCTGCAACTTGAGAGAATAAATTTCGGCACATCAATGTATGTCCCAAATAGACCCACCATGACTAGCAACATACGGAAAGCCGCAGATACACAAAACCAAGTCTAGTTCATAAGGGAAAGTACTCACAATGTTGCCGAAAACTTTCCAACAGTTCAAGACCAGCTTCGCTTTCCCTAGGGCTCACCAGGTAGGCGGAGTCCCCAAAGTTCCAGCAGCCTAGCATTCTACTTAATCCCGAACTGCACGAAATTCATTTGAGGATCACAAGCAAGAGATTCAGCAGGGCTTTAGGTAATTCACCTGTGAAAACCAAGCTGGTATGCAAAGGAGTGCATTCGTCGTCATTCTCCCTCAATTGGAAGATGGCTGGAACCAGTAAAACAGTTATCATTTCAAATAAGCTTGGTAAAAACTCGGTGGATTTATTGCCCGACAACGTTTCGCTTTCAGCGCAAACGCTTCGCATGGACGAATGGATAAGTTTTTAGATCGATAAACTCATAAGACGCACGGGAATGGATCAGCTAACCGACTGAACCAATGACAAATGTTAATCAGAACATCGTTTGTTGGTTAGTGTGGTCGATTATAACTTGCGACAGTTGGGTTAGGGGGTAATTATCACCAGGTTGAATCAGGATTTCGAAGTCTTGCTTTTCTGGTCTAGGAGACTGATGAAATATTCCACTTGGATGTGATTCACAGATTATTTTGGTCTGTGTTTGAGGAGGTATCAGGATAAGAGGATTGGGGTTGGGTGGGCAGAGAAAGTGGATCTTGCTCTGCCATCTTCAGTCCGCACTCTCCACGGCAGACCTAGAATTACTAAACACCAAAGCAACGGAAGTAAAATTGGCGTGAGATCAATGTTGCAAAGACAGACAAATACAGATGTTTGAAAAGTTGCTTTCCGCGATCCTGTGATCTACCAAGCTAAGTGAAAACAGTAAACCATCTGCCGGTTATTCCGGCGTAGTAAATTTGTCGCACTGATCTTTCAGTGAGGAAGATCGTTCTCTATTGAAGAATGGGTTCGGTTTCACAGTGTGTGAGAGTAGGAAAGGTAGAAGAGATAAATGCTGGTGTCGAATCCGTGTTTCGAAAAATTTCGTCAATGGAAGTGTGGAGACGACGGGTACGGAGTCCCAACAATCAAGAGCCGAAAATATTGCACTAACAGAACGAACAGACTTAAACACCCCAAACATGTGCGTAGCATCGTGATCACAAAAGCGGCTGAGGGTAAGGCTACCGTCGTCATAACCGAGAGTGACTATTTGCAGAACGTTAGACAACACCTAGCTGATGGGCTCTGCCGACAAATTAGCATCGGAACAAATGCGTCAATGATACCGAAGTTGGAAAGTGTTTAATATAGTTGATAAGTCATCTGGGCTACGAAAAGTGGTATCAGTTGTACCCCGAACAGCACAATACAATGACTAATGACTACCCAAAACTCACAGGGCGAGTATCTCCATAGGATGAAAAGCAGATGATACACAAGCTAACCAGATTTACGGCAGGTATCCGAAATCCACTTCCCGGTTAAACATCCACACACATTTAGGATTTGTACTATTTTTCTAGAAAAAAAGTAGCCGAGCTTCCAGAGTTCCCGTTAGTTTTGGTGTCAACTAAATGTATGCGAATGATCCAGATAAGGCCAATCGTTTGCGCACACATATTTTGTGAACATACAGGTACAAACTATCCAGATGGCGCGAAATATGCTTCTGCGCTCACTTACCCGATGGATCTATAGTGTTTGCTCATTTAGGACAGGGTTCTGTTCTCCCTTGGGTTACTGCGAATAAGTCCTACAACGAGACAGGCTCGCTTTGGAGCAACTGAAATCCTAAGAATCATTTAGCAGCCGTCTGGCTGTGTCCCCCTAACCATTGCATGTCCACGTAGGTCATGAAAAACGCAGCATATCATGGTTACCGGCGACCTAATGAAGGTTCATACATGATTCGACAGCAGGTAACAACATCAGGAGACTCAGCCGTCGGGTCTTCAAACCTATCGCTTCTACTCGGTCTTATGGCCTTAACTTAGTAGGCTATGTGGTATGCCTACGTCAGCCACGACGCTGAGGGATGCGACCCTTTCATCTGGTCCAGCTCATCTATCAAAGCGCGATATACAGAGGGAACCTCTGATGAATGCAAACAGTTACTAGAAGCAGTGGTAAGAGTCACGCATCAAGTGGGGACCAGTGATGAGTGGCCCCGTCGGGACGGGAAAAAAGTACTGAGTAAATGCGTAGCCCCTCTATGAGTATCCCCATAGGGACAGACGACCATCGGTGAGTACCCTCTATAGGCGGAAGTGCTGATTATAACAGAGTTCAGTCTGAAGATGATAGTTGGACCGCTCTTGCCGCACACATGCGTGTGCGCTCACATCTCTCCCCGACCACCTTAATCCAACTAGAATCAGAAAACTACTGTTCTACAAAATACAGATCCAGGTAACGGCCAGATGGACGGTGGCGTTAGTTGCATATCAAACACCTGGTCTCATTAAAGCTAGAGCACAACTCAGGAAAAACTCCGTTTGCGACCAGCGAGCCACGTAGTTCAGAGAACGAACAATAAAATGTTCGAAACAGTGTAACGAGAAAGGATTTCGTTTTTTGACAAAACCAGGTACACCTGGTCGCGTGTCACAAACACTCAAATCACGTAACAATACCTGCCCCACTTGCAACCTTAGGCGACAACATGCACACTACAGTTTCCCACTCATTTGTTTACGCTGCCACCACCTGCGTCACACGCCAGACTTACGAACTTCAACCACATCAGGTCTAGCTGTATTCATTTTCGCGCAAGCATCACACAAGGACAGAACACTCGTCTCTTCACACTACACACAATATATAGGAATGCAACTGGACCCCAAAACACATTCTCGTGCACAGGAGACAGGAATTCAACCGAGCTGCGCATGTCTCCACGGGAACCTACGGAACACGTGTAGCACCCACAGTGCAAGGAAGACACGTCCCGCATCCGGAACTTCGCTCAGGAACTCCTAACAGTTGTCTTCAAAGGATAGGTCTCTTTTTGACTTATTCCCTTCTTGCATTGTATTTATTTCTATCAAGTGAACATAACTTTTGTGATCATCGCCATTCTGGTAAAAGACATCTGTCAGTGCTTGTCGCCTGATAATCAACCAGATCACTAATACTTCACAACCAATGAACTCGCGATTATTTTCGCATTTCAGACTGAGGGTCAACTGGGCTAGTCGAGGGAATAAAAAGTACATATACAGAGCTACCCGAGTAACTCCGAGTAAGTTCTGGATTGTTGTTTTGTAACTGTGCAACAACTGTTTCATAAATATAGACGGAAACAGATATCCTTACAAAACTTTGGAGAGAAGGGATCACTTTGTCTAGGTCTAGAAAGCTTTTTGAAATTCGAGGACTCTAGCAGGGCAACCTTGCGGTTCAAACATTGCGGAGGGGACCTGTTGAGGCACATTTTGGACAAAGCCGTTCGAATTGTTTGTTCAGCACACAACCATATGTCTGTGTTTTACAGTAAGGAAAACTCTAGCAAACAAATGTTTTATATAGGCTTTCATGAATGGAATTGCCCATGCAAGCTCACACGTGTGATGAAGAGATGAAGTTGGTGATGAACATCCATCAATTTTGATCTCAACGGGATTTCGACATTGACGTTGATCGGGTTAAAATTTGCCAATGATTCTAAATGCATAAGAATGACGGCTAAACATGGCAAAACCACAGCTACTTTCGATAATGTGATTTTGTCTCCTAATGGCTACACCTCAGGGCGTTAGGTTTTGACTGCGAAAGACCCGATATCAGTGGTGAGGGTTTACCCACTTCCTTTCTCACTATAACCAATAAGTTTAGGTTCATATACACTAACAAAGGTCTTGGATAGGAATAAACATCAATGGAACGGAACCACTCGTATCGTGCGGCAACCAGGTCCGGTTTTAAAGTCCAAGACAGTTTGACAGCCTGTGTCAAGATGTTTTATGAACGCAAGCCAGATCGGTATTGATTAATCAACATGGCCCGGAGTCGACAATGGCAGTCAAGTTCTGAACGCCCTATTGGGTTCAACTCTGTGTCCGATGGACAAAATCTTTCTGGCGGTCGATGAGGCGAGTTTTCGACTAGTAGAAAGACAGGTCGGCTAGTTTCATTCCCACCCAACTTCATGACCAGCTTAATCCGACTGAAACTTAATGATAAAAATAATAATCGTTCAGCTGTAGCACCATTTCGGTGCCTAGCTGCCATGCCACACCAAGGAGGCACGAGGACTGGGATACTGCCAGGTCGCCCAAGCCTAGACAGGGGAAGTCGAGTGACGGAGGTCGGGTTCGAACCACGGACCCTCCGGTCAGTAAATTCTCGCTCTAACCACTTGAGCCATCTCGAGTGAAACTTAAGTGCCAATGAAGAAAGTTAATACAGAGATGGCATACTTTGAAATACAATCTGGCCATGTAAGAATTCTCCCACAACGAATCAACCAGATAGTTGGTTAAAAGTTTAAATCCCGCACACCATTGTGTGAAGAATTAGTTTGAACACGCGCAAGTTCTGGACCAATTGCCAACGAGCTCACAAAGGATGCCTCTCATAAATATACAGATATCGCTTCGCAGTGAACTGTAGAAAATTTGTGCAATTTTTTTACAGTACACAAAATTCCAACATGCATTCCCTGAGAATGTTAACAGTCGATCGTCGTATGCAGTGAAAACGGTCGCATCAAATTCGAAGGCCCGGTGTACAAACAAATTAATGTCATGAAAATGGGTAGTCAGCTTGGACATTTATCAGCAGATATCTTCCCAAGCACGGCTGAAATACAGCTTTCTGATCATGTCTCCATACTACGCAAACGATATGTGGACGACATTTAAACCTTCGAAGACTGTGACCACTTTAAGAACCTATGCAACCGTATCAACACTTTGGACCTTAAACTTCTTTTATGCAGAAGCTGGTGACAGCCCACAAAGACTAAACAATTTTCCAGCTTTACTCTTGCGTCTTGTAATGAACGACGGACGCCCCACTTTGTTCGACTGTGCTAGAGGTGGTTGTATTCCTAGATCTCGCCAGGAAGAAGGGCTCTTAAAAAGGACGCTGGTTTTCAACTTCTACCTAAAGAGATATCAACATCCACAGCGCACACGCCTAACTGGGAGCCTATCTATTCAATAAAAATATATATAAATATCAGACAGCAGCAATACGGTACAGATCGGCCGTACGTACTCAGCGGCTCAACTAATCCTAAGCTCATAAACGAGATAAGTCAATCTCCAGGCATATTGTATCCAGTCCCCGTCTCACACGTCGTGTAGTAAGTCACATGCAGCCACGCTGAAACATTGGTAGATAGGAGGTTATGCGAATGCGTCTTAGAACATCTACTTCTCTATCTGAGTCAGGTGACTAGTCAATCGCCTGCAAGCTGAGACCCGAAAACCTGCTTCATCGATCAGTTAAAACATTCTATCTACTGGTCACAAAGTCGACCCCAGTAGAGCGTTCCGAATTTTACTCCCAAATGTCAACCTATAATTGTTAGTCTTCACTGGGGCCATGTTGATTAGACAATACCGACTCAGCTTCTGTGCAAAAAGACCGACACCAGTCAATGTTGATTTGAAGTATCAGAGACTCTTCCAGCCTTAATGCAGTCCCCTTCAGCGACATGGTATCTGGTTGTTGGGTTAAGCTAGGCAATTTCATTTCAAACGTTTAATCAAAAACCGAGGTGACATCATAGTGTGTTATTAGGGTGCGAAGCACAGCGGAGCACGAATGGTTGTGCGTTTACGGACGCGTTGATACACGCCAAGCTAGCCGGGGGCTCACCTTCGATTACAGCTGGTGGTTCAATCGGGCAGTTCTATTTCTGGTCTCATCATGTGTCCTGATTCGCTGGGAACATCCTGAGCGCCCGACCGTGCGAACAAACAACTATCATTCAAGGTCAGCCCTGGGCTAGCAGAACGCACACTAACACACGCGCCACTAGTCAGCGTTCATTGAGGGCTGTAAAGGACAACCTTTGAATAAATAATGTTGGATGGGTGGCGTGCGAAGTTCGTTTCTAATGTATTCTAGCAGGGCATAATGACAGGAAGATGTACAAAGGGAGGACTAAGCAACGATGATAGGGCTGTTCCATCGATGGCAGCTACTCAACAAGGACGCGATGTCCATATCGAAATGGGCTAAATGCAACGAACTAGGGTATTTGAGAGAGGACAAAAAAACCTGTTGAGTAGAACGTATGGTCTGCGGTCCTCTCACACAGTATCCAAGTAGAATGCACCAACATCAAGTTAAAAAACAATTTATCAACACGAATGTGAAACAACCCGAAGTGTAACCTCGGAGAAACGACTTACGTCTATTTGGAGAGTTTGGAGAAAAGGCTGTCGAAGCTAAGAGATTGAAGAGTAAAAAATAATTCAATAGAAGCAGGTTAATCAAAAGAAGACAACCAAAACGCCGTGCCATGGCTTAAACATGACAAACAAGCCTGATGTAAAGAAAAATGAAAAAGTTTGGTTTACACTGGTGATACGACAGATTACGCGAATTACTAATTCGCGAATGACATATGGTTCGTGTAGCAGCAAATGCGACTAGAAAACAGCAAATTCGGTGGTCGTAGAACACAGCATTGCGCTGTGCGTGACGTTTACCAGTTCAGTGATGATGCGTACAATGGTCCGGTCGTATACACTGAGAACCTGGAAGTGAGTTCCAGAAACCCAAACAGCCTCCTTCACTATGCTGAAGATAACACGTCCGACAATCTACGAGATCCGCAAGGATTCCAGATAAGTAGTTTCCAGTGGCGCACACAACATATACATATATACATCCGACATGATCTGTAGAGTCACTTGCCCTCTAGAACGACAAGAAGTTAGATCGACTAGATCGGCAGATTGTCGGAAATGTTGATTTTGCGATGGTTCTTAGGTTCTCGATCAAGAAACTACGTTCAAGCAGCGATTGGAGACGTGTAGTACGACCACCTCGATTACGGGTTGATAGCCGGAGCGACTGACTAAAAGGTTGACGGTTCAAACCTATCCCGGTTTTTGACTGCTTCTGTCTAGATTTGGACACCCCGGAAGTAGCTCAGCCCTCGTGCATCCTTTGGGTTGCCGGCATCTGAGACTAGATCGCCCTCAATTTTCAGCCTGCCTGAAGTCGAGCGGGAACTACTAAGCAAAACTGCCACCAGGGAAATAATTCTTACTGGAGTGAAAACTGGATAAGTATCCAGCTGGATGTGAACACAAACATCATGAAAGATATCCATCCTTTCCATTGTCTCCCATAATGCAAAATCAGTGTTCTTTGGGATTGACAACCTCGAGCTGGTTTTATGAGATAATCGTGTGTTGACTGCATGTTCTAGTTGATGCAGAATCACGGCTGAGTAGTGAGTGTGATTTGGATCTCATTGAGCTTTCCATTTCAGGATGAAATCATACACCTACTCAGGTCCCCGGCCGAAATCCAAGTGGATGGTTTGACCCTCCATGGGGATCAAACAGAAAACATTCCAACTATCTGCCGCTAGTTACACGATTGTCTGAATAAGTCAACAGATGACTAAGACCAAAAGTTCCGTTTTAAACAATTCAGTTAGGACCGCGACAGGGAATGAAAACATGCAAGTCACACGTTATCCAAACATCCATTAAAAACAGCGAAATGATTTTCGGGTTTTCACCTCGGATGACCGGAAGACGTGGGTAAAAATTTCCCAACGGTATGACATCACGCGGTCTCCAATTTTGTGACAGGTCCCTTAATTTACATTCTTCTAAGCTTTGGATTGGTTTTCGATCAGAAAGGCCATCAATCGACAAAAGTTCATGTTATTCTAAAGAGTAGGTACATGGAAGACACAAGGATTCTCCAAAAAGTTTTCCATATAAATCGGTGCTAGATGGATGTGGCGGTTAGGAGAAGGCTACCTAGCTCCGAAATGTGAAACACATATGGTTATATGATTAGCGACCGTATCCATCAAATCAAGTGCTCACTCACGGTGTCTAGAACAGAGTGTAGTGATACTAAATTCCATCGAAGCTACCAGATAACCAAAGGACCTCTGTCAGACACTGGGCCCAAAATTTGCTGTGAAAACTTACAACTGGGCGATGCCTGAACTTCGTTCCACTCGTCCAAAAGCTTTGTCGCTCGGTTCTCGGTTGATTGGTCCCTGAACCGGAGGTTCGCTATCCCTGCACAGATGGAAATGCAAAAGTTTGCAACAGCTCGACAAATACATTGCAACAAATGCCATAAATAGTCTCAGGTCCACACACTTGAAGCGTCCTGGTTACAGTTAAAATAGCAGTGGAGAAAGGTGAAAACTACGATGTCCCAGTTATCGAAAGGAATGACGCGCAAAGGCTCGATGAGTGGAAAATATAAGAATAAACTGATCGAAAGCAAGCAAAAGATGGTTAAAAAGACCATCATCACCTGATTAGAGATGTCGGATTCAAAAAGTATCCACCATAACCCGAAAAGAACAAAGGCAGTAGAATTCTCACGTGGTTATAGCGCGCCACCAGTGAAATTCACAAAGAACGAGTCAGGTCAAGCGAATGGTGTACAAAAGCCGAAGGATTGTGAGTTGACGCAGAATTCAGTCAGGGGTAAAACAGCTTGCTTACCATCTGCATGCTGGTGGAATACTATTTTGTATTGAGGACCGTGAGCTGAGAAAAAATATACTCAGTGGGTACAACAGAGTTGGCAACGAATAGTGTATCATGAAACGTGAAAACAGCATCTTTAGGAACCTAGCCTGGGAAACGCTATGAAGTCATTGTTGAAGAACACGACATTCCCTGGCTCCTGTTACACACTGATCCAGAGAAAATATCAGGATGACGTTCACAATATAAAACACCTACCCAGCTCTTCGGTACACCGACAATTCCTCTTCCACTTCGATTAGACGGGATTTTAATTCGTTTCGCTCAGTCAGCAGGTCACGCAGTTCTTGGACTGTGAATCGAGGCTTGTTGGGGTCAGAGCCGTTGGTAATCATCTTGTCCTCTGTGTTCAGCCGTTCGATAAGCTGCGACTCAGTCAACGGCGCGGGCTATTTGGAAATGAAGAAAAAATCGTTCAGTTGTAGCACCCTTTCGGTGCCTAACTCCCATGGCACCAGAAGGAAGCACGAGGGCTGGCATACTGCCAGATTGCCCATGCCTAGGCAGAGGAAGTCGGGGGGGGGGGCAGAGGCCGGGTTCGAAACACGGACCTTCCGGTCAGTAAACAAGCGCTCTAACCACTGAGCCATCTCGCCCCTTGGAAATGGAGAAAAGGGTATCTGCTAAGAGTTAGCTGCCTGACTATCAAAACCCTTCAGTGATGAAATAAACCGGGAGGGAAATGTAGGAAGCCAAAAACTCAGAGCCCATGCGGACCAAACAACTGTTAAGTTATTTAATCATAAAATGCACATCTGCACTGTGCTGTAGTTTGGATCGCCGCGCACTTAGCTTCCGATGGTGTAAACCTAATCCTGACGGTGAAAAATAGAGAAAACTATACCTATCCATTGAGAGAAACCGAAACCATGGCCTATACTGCTTCCCAAACGCATTTTACACGCCTTGCATTGGCTCAACAACCGACCAGTCGGTAAATATACGTACGCTGCTACATTGGATGAGTGCTTTTTCCACATGACTGGTTGGTTCACCCACTGATTTATGTGGAGGTTCTATACACTAACTTGTTTCAGCTTTGCAATAAGGGGAGAGAATGGATAGTTGTCACGATACAATAGCAACGACTGCGAGACTAAATACACCACAATGAAATCGAACAGATTCGAACCAGTGCAGAAAGCTTATGTCCTCAGTTAGGTATAACTTTCAAAACCTGACCTGAAACACTCGGCAGTCTTACCGGAGTACCGGGTGAAGCTAGCTCTTTGATCAAGGACGCTGTCATACCGCATGTTAGAGATCGATCAGCAGCTCGATCGGTAGGACTCTGGCAAACATGATCGCGCATTTGTTGGATTAATTCTTCTTTCGTCCGCAACGTCACTTCCAAATCATGCTTCTCACTCAACAATTGATCCGTTTGTTTTTTGCTCACATAATGTCGACGACGAAGGACGGCGTTCAGTTTGGCCAATCGCGTGGCCTGCTGCTGCATCTGAAGAACAGACAGATGAACAAGGCAGCAGCGAGTGACAAGAATCGATTAGGACGGATGTGAAATCGAAACGGATCAAAGCCTACATACGTTAACAGCCACATTTCTTAAGATCTGGTAGAAGTGGTCGTTAGACAAAGAACCTTTAGTCAAACTGGAAGCAAATAGCACAAGAATGATTGCTTCAGCCACCCAACTACCGGTACGCTTCATTGTTGAGAATCTGATAACTGGTGAGTGGAAAGACAACTGTTTCTGGGATTTCAGGATTCTCGGTCGCCTCAATTGGGACTTACGAGGTGGACACAGAAGGTGGGTGTGACAGGACATTCGACCGCCTGAGGTTAAGGTTGAAAGTTCACACCAATCTGGAATCTAGCTAAACCCACCTGATGGGTCTAAATCCGGAAGAACAGCATAACAGACTGTGGTAAACTGAAATCAACAAGCTAGGTACACATCCGTTTTAATGTACTTGTTCACGTCGTCACGCTACTGCACGTTACCACCTCTGATTAAATTAGCTCAACTTTCAGCACCGCCTTGATGACAGTCTTCTATACCTCATGTTCGGTGGTGTAATGTATAAGAAGTCAACAATCTCGAAATCCACTTTGATGCTGTTCGGCCGACTTTTTCATCCTCCGACAAAGTGACAAATCAACTTTAGTGTGGCCTGGTTGTTCTTTTGAATACACAAGAGATTGCGCAGAACATGCCCCAACCACAAAGCCAGTCACGCAGCTGAAAGGATTTGACGCACCAGGCTGAGGGTTGCAGATAAGTATCTGCATATAAGCAACGCTTCGGGCAGTTGAACTTTCAACAGACGGTTAATTTCATTCCATCATAGGCAAACATTGAGACACAATTCGAATAAGGAATTCATTCACTATGCTATCCATAGGCCAAATTGGTTGGAGAGGCCGTTTCACATCGAAGGAAATGTAGTTTAGAGTAAAGGGTGAGACAACGAACTTCCTCTATTCATCATTCCCGCTGAACTCAAAAGCAGATACCACGGGTGCGAGACTGTGGTCAATCAGAATATCGGCGTCACAACGAATTTATCATGGCCTACTCCTAACAAACTGTATCATCCAGTTCATTGCGAAGCAAAAAGGGGGTGACAATCAAAGGTAGGTCTATCGTGCTTTGGGGTTATGGATCGAACATTTCAACTCCTCAAGGTCAGCATTAACTGATGACACGTTAGAAACCCAGTTAGGGTGTCTGAACGGCAAGATTTGATTGGTTTTCGCGCCATGTTTCCACCTAGAGAGCTTGGATAAATATTTGAGAGTACACCTCCGATAGTTGAATGGCAGCTCTCTTACTTTCCACTTTGCTCATCATCTTCACATTAGTTAGTATGGGTGTACAGTAGTGAAATGTCGTCGGTGCTAATGGTCTCAATTCACTTCCTGCAAATTTATTGAGCCACCCTGGATTTAAATGCAGCCCAAAACCAACTCAATCGAATGAACTTCGACCTAGCTTTTCCGACTTTTACACCATTTACCGTTTACTCTCTTGTGTGATCTTTGCTACAGATATATGGGCCCCGAACGGGACAAGCAAGTGACATCCAGCAAATACAGTTCGAAACAAACTAGTCGAAGCTGTGCAGCTGAAAGCAACCTACATTAAATTATTTCTTCCTCAGATGAAACACGAAAAAATGTTTGGTTCACCGAGGTTAAGACGACTTAGAGTGGTAGTTCTCTGTTCCGTTTCCTTAAGCAATTGAAGTGTGGAGACAGCTAAGAATTTTATAGCGTACTGATAGAACACGAAGTTTCTAGAGATGTAGAATTGGTTCTACAAAGATTAGAAGAGTTAAGCATCACGTAACTAGTAGGCCCAATAACACAAGGTTCTTATTAACAGACACAACTTACTGCATCTAAATCAACATTCCTCTGTGCCAACTGTCGGCTTAGGCCCCTCAGTTCAATCTTTTGACGATCGATTACTTCTTTCAGACGAAGCATCAGCTGAATTTCCTCAATCGCTCCAGTAGCTGGAAAAAAGAAGGAAAACAGCCACAAGAACTATCAAACCCAGTCAAGTTGGATTGAGGAAGAAGCTCATAGAATGCCTAGCAGTTTTTTGTGTATCATCATCATCGGCAGCATGACATCAGTGTTCAATACCGATGCTTCACTGCCGTACAACCATCTAAGTCCCTCAACCATGACTTGTTTGAAAGCCTTATTGTAAGGAAAAGGTAAAGGTGGACGGGGGAGGGACTTAGTGCTAGCTTACCACAAACATTCCGAGGTGCCTACACCTCTAGACATTCACTCAGGCAATCTGGATAGAAATTGACAACAGGAACGCCACTGACATCGGTTGGCAGCCATATCTTGCAGTGTCTCCAACCAGGCACAGTGAGGATTACGTGGTCCCCATCCTGGAAGGCGAGTAGCACCGACATGTCAACACAGGTGTCTAGGGTCACGAAACACCTCGGTAGTACAGGAAATGGATATGCTAGGTATTTGCACCGTTCAGATGTCATCAGTTGCTAAATGGACGTTTCCTAAAGACTCACTACTCGGGCAGCTTTATATGTTTTGAGACTCATTCGCTGTATTTGTCGGGCGAAGCTAATGCCACAAAATGACGATGATTTGACAAGATTGATCAACCGTTGGTTGCCGTACAGGAGAGCTGAATCCTTGGGCGAAAGTAACTACGAATGGTGTACTGAGCACACAATTCATTGGCTACAGCTCTACTATTCTGGGGCCAAGTCAGGACCATTTGAGAGAATTATTCAGTCGTGAAGTCAATTAGCACCGTAATCCCAAATCAATGGGAAGAAACCATGGGAATTAAAATAACGTCAGATGACTCAGATTTGGGCTGAATTATGTGGGAAAGGTAGGACTGGCATATGTAATGCTGAAAAATTCCCCGAAAGAAATCTAGTGTTGTCTTTTGAGCGAGTGATCCTAGGCTTGATTTGTCCTACGTCGCTGTCATTATCGAAGGTTACGGTAATTTTTATAACGCCTGTATCAGCTAGCTAATTTTTTCGAGTCTTATTGTGAGTTTATCAGGTGGTAACCTTGAGCTCAAGATGGCTAAGTGGTTAAGGCGCGGATTTACCGACAGGAAGGTCCGTGGCTCGAACCCAACCCCGAAATCCCGACTACTCCTGCCTGAATTGTGCAACCAGACAGTATCTCATCTCCCGTTCTTCCTTCGGGGTGGCGTGGCAGGTGGGCACCGGAAAGGTTCTACAGCTGAACAACTTTTATGTACGTATTAATTCACGCGCTGTTGCAGTGACATATACTGGTAGAACAGACCAATGTCTATCTCCAAGGTGGAAGGCACTCCGAAATGGTTGGTGCGGTTTATGTCACAACCAACTTATACGAGTCAGAGGTGAGACTGAAACTCAGCCATCGATCACTAGATATCTCCCACTACGAGTCATCACAAGAACCCCACAAATTGCCTCCAACCGCGAAATCGGATCTCCGACTTCTTGACAATTTCTGAGAATCGTAAATAAAGGCTTACCAACTAGCACTAACAGAGCACAAGGAGTTGACCCATATTTTTGGTTACCATGGAGATGATCATGTGACCGATGTTACACGAGCGAGAACTCGTCTACCTGATTTGCAACTGTCCCCTCTTGTCTTGCATTTTTACGTCCGCGACTAAGGATCGTAGGATGGATGTTGACACATCGCGATATACGTCTTTCCTTAGTCTTAAAGAAAGGATAAAAAACTAACCACAATCATTCCGAAGTGCGTAAACCTCCAGAAACTCATCCAATTAACCTGGGTACAAACTGCAAACAAGAACGCCATTGACATCGATTGAAAGCCATACCTTGCAGCGTTGCCAACCAGGCGCATTGGGGATCACACGTGTCATGATTTCTGTGTGCTTATTTTTATACTTACCATAGATACTCGTACTGAACCTTTGTATGTACGTTTCGGCTCACGCACACTTGTTCTTAGACAAGTAAAACGTTGCTTGTTCTCGAAAACCTGGACCCTGTTGTAACTCGTTCTCGAACACATTCTAAACGTCTGAAAACGGTCCCCGTCCTGGAAGGCGAGTAGCACCGACAGCACCAAGTAGTTCGCAATCTATTTCATATCCCTTGGATAGGTCAAGGGCTAGTCACCTCTTTGCTTCCTCCACTCTGAATTGGGTACGAAAAGCAGCACTCTCTTCGGAAGGAAACAAGCACTAACAAGTGTCTGATCTGCCAGAATGATGATGATGATGGTTACGTGCACTTGATAAAATAGATACAACGCCAAATGTAGAATAAGCCAGAAAGTGAGAGGACAGTTGTTGAGAGTTCCTGAGTGATAGTTCCGGACTCGTGACGTGTCTTCTCTGCAGTATAGCTGCTACACGTGTTCCGTAGTTATCCGTGGCGAATTGTGGAGCTTCGGTTGACTTCCTGTCCTGTGTGTGTGTTGGGACGAGTTGTATGCCAATATATTGTATGCAGTGTGAAGAGAAGGGTGTCCCTCCATGTTTGATGCTTGCACGAACATGAATACAACTTGACCTGATGTGGTTGAAGTTCGTACGTCTGGCGTGTGACGCAGGCGGTAGCCGCGTAAACAAAAATCAATGGGAAGTTGTAGTGTACAAGTTGTCGGCGAAGGTTGCAAGTAGGACAGGAATTGTCATGTGGCTTGAGTGTTCGTGACGCGTGACCCAGTGAGTGACCGCTACAAACCCACCTGAGCATCATAGCGAAGGCGCCATCAGCGGGAATGACCCAGTGTCCTTAGAAAACCTCGTATGATATAAGTGCAGAGCAAAACGACAGAGGAACCTTAGCTACGTAGTCCAAATAGGAAATGACAGTAAGCGTGCCATTGGGATCGGTTGTGAGCCATGTTCTACAGAGATTCCAATCACCCGCAACAAGGATCCCGCGGGCTCCGACCAGGAGGGCGCGAGATCACACAAAACTCTGTTTGATCGCAACCACTTTCATTTCACGTTGCCACGTTTGGCCCTTCCCACCCCCAAGCCTTTCTCCAACAACCGCTCGGAGCAGAAAACAACACTTAGGTAGACGGTGGTCTGGTATACATAATACAGGCCTCAACCATCCCAACCTGGTAAGTTGAACCTGCTGCTTAAACGAGTCGGATGTTACCGACTGGTCGTTTAAGTAAGACCTCATTGCGTACTTCCTAATGACAGGACGCTTTTGGACAAATCACTGTAAACCCTAACCCGACAGAAGTTGCGGAACAAGTGTTGAAACCGCTCTTAGCAACTATTGCTTACTGGTAAGTACAGAAGAACGACGGAACGAAGTGATGTTTCCCTTCCGCTTCAGTCAGTCAACTCGAGAACCATGATGCGAGAGGTTTGTTTTCACTCAAAGCACACCAGAATCGAGAAAAATCCATACCACAGAAACTGATGTATCGAATAGGACACATGTAGGTTCTGTCTAATGCACTGAAGGACAAGGTTAGCTGGTTAAAGATTATCGGACAGACAAATGGGATTACATGAAGGAACATCCTGAGCACAATCACTATATTTTGGGATAAGAAAAAAACAGAACCGCATTTCAGTACTTACTGCGTTGGCGAAAATCTGCCGGTGCGTCCTTCGATTCACGTTGCTCTCTTACAGCCTCTCTTAATTGTGCATTTTCTTCTTTTAAACGATCAATTAGTTGTAGTAATTCTCGAGTCTCCTTCTGCCATGTTTCTTCAAGCTGTTCAAACTCCTGAATTTTCAAGTAAAAGCAAAAGTCGATGAGGCAGCTGAATTTTGAATCACTGAGCAAAAAACTCTCTGGATTTCATGGCCCATCGATACCACGCTAGTAAGACATCAAACTGTGGTCTGCGGTGCAACATTCGGATTATGTGATCGTTGTATAAGAGGAATGAACCAATTGTTTCACCAATCAGCAATCTAACTGTTGTAGGTGGATAACTTTCCAGGACAGGTGGCTGTCTACAATTCAGAAGAGCGAGACTGAACTGCCATATTCCGACATGCCCATGGATTCCGGCGTAATGTCGTAAAAAATTTCACCTGAGTTGCATGTATATTCACTCTCAATCACATAGCTCAAGCATGAACAAGTGTACCTGTTCAGAACTGATAATTCAAATAAGAACAGCACGAACCGAGGTACTAGTAACACACTCAGGTATCCGGGTTCAAATCTCGGTGTGAATTTATGATATGAGCGGAACTCGAGTCGGTGTTTCTTATCTTTGGTGTGGACCAGGACAGGACAGGACAGGAATATTTTGACCAGTTCCGCTTTTAAATCATTTATAATAACTCCACTTGCAACATAGATTTATTTTTCCTGTTCTTTTCATTTTCACCCGCACAACGGGTATTCTGGGATGGAAAGGCTTTTCAGCTGCCCTTGTGTGCCTGACTTGAATTCCGTATCATCGCACAAGGTAGACATGCACCTTGCCCGTAGAGTGAAAACACACCAGAATGGAACAGTTGGGTTGTTTTAGGCAAGCCTTAGGTAGCCAGACAGATGGAAGATAGCTACAGAGATAAGGTCCTCTAACCCGTATCAACCATGTACAGAGAAAACACCGCAAATAGCAAGAGGAAAAAGCTGCCCTTGGTTACTGTGATTAAGTATGTCATTTAACTAGTAGATCGTAAAAAATCGTACAAAAATCGTAAAAAAAGATCGTAAAAAAGTGTAATAGCAACGGATCTCTCATGGTGGTGATCTAAAATCTACTCCTGTAGTTACCGGCACAATCCAGATTACATAAGCCACTAGGATAACGGGAAAAAGGCGTAATATAAAGCAGACTTCACTCAAACCTATCTCAAAAAATGAAAGCGAAACTAATTCAATATGGCAGTTAAGAATAACTAACTTTTTCACTCCTGGTTCGATCATTAACTCTTTCACACTTCTCCAACTCTAATCGGCGGACCGCCAGTTGCAAAGTCACTAATTCTCGACCTTCCGAATCGAACCGAGAGGCGAAATCTTCTAGCTCTTCCAGAACGCTTATTACCTTTGGCATAAGACTGGAGACAGAATCCGGACCATGACGGTCGATGATTGCTTCAAACTCTTTGCCGATAGAAGCAGCGATGTCATATACGTCAAGGACAGTGATTGTAGGCGTTCCTGGTCGGCTTTTTGCTGGATCCGCCGACAAAGCAAAATGTTCTACGTTTGGCTCCGCCAGAGTGGAGTGACAGGTTAGCAAAGGTGAAGAGAATAATGGAGACAGGATGGAAATTTGTCCTGGAAGTAAAAAAGTAAACGGCATATATGACAACTATAAAATAGCCCCATTTTATGGTATTGATAGCTGTGGGAAGCCTGGGGTTTGGTTTGATGGAATAACGAGGGATAGCATGGACAATGCTGGCGCCCAGACTAGTGACGGAGGTAGGAAAGACCTTCGCCAGTCTGGGTGTACATAGATGAAAAACGGACTAAGAAAATTGTCGAAACTTGGCGAGACAGAAATCCAAAGGATTACCGCATATTCTTTTATATCGGATAGGTACGATCCATGAATCAGAAGTGGTGGCTCTGGCCACTACAGTTCACGAAGGCTAGAACTACCGGTAAGAGGAACAGAGGACTAACCGGAAAATCGCAAAGGTGGGGGTAACGAAACACTGTTACGACTGTCGTAGTGTTGATGGTGTCTTCAGATACTGGGTTGAAGACACTAGTTCAAATCAGTGGTTTTTCAGCCCACGAACCATGAACCGAAGCGCAACGACTTCAGCCGCTACTGCTTCGTTCACCGGGTAGGTGGATAAGGGAATGACAGCTATGTTCTGAAAAAAACGACCAAATCTGTGCATTTACGTCGATCAGTTGTTTGTCCAGTGTGCTAGGGATTCAGAACTACGGAATGAGGGCGATTGCTTTGGTGCGAGACCGACAATGACTGCGTGAGTCATATCTGTCAGGTTCAGTAACCTTTGCTTTGTCTAGCGGTTCTCGTCCGTGGAGACGGCATCTACCAACACGGCTGAGCTGACTGATAAGGGTTTCGATTCTTTGTTGCCAGGTCATCGACCGACTCCTTCCCGGTCGTCTTCATCTGACACAGCGCTGAACGAAGAGGGCTCAAAGGGGCAAATGGTTCCCAGGCATACGAATTACAGGGCCTGACTAGTGTAAGTTGTAGAGTGTGACAAGCTGTTCTGTCGAGGGAGAGTGGAATTTCCCAAAAACCTTCTGACGTGCCTCAGCAATATTGATTTGATGTTTCTATCAAACACGCATAATGCTTCGGAGGCACAGGTGGTCTTTCACCTACATCAGCCACGTCCCCGACACATACGATATCTACGCTGCATTGGCCTTCCCAGTTTGCGATGTGGCTTCGTCTTTTACTAGTATGCCGCCAAGGTAAATGAAGTTATCCGCCACGCGTTCGGCTGGTCAGCAAGCATGAACTTTGGCTGTGAACTCAGCCAATCTTACAGCGGCACTTTACACTTTACAGATGCGAAACGCATACCGAGCCATGTAGTAGAATCGCATAGCTTATTTTAACTAGTTCGCAATTCCGAAGAGCCAGATCCAAAAGCAACATCATCGGCGTACTTAAGATCCATGACCGACGGTCCTGCGAATATTTCGATCCCCGAGCTGTTAGAGGGAGGTGAAGAATAACCAAACAGCATACTTACTAGGCGGTTAAAGGGAAATGGCGATAGAGGGCAGCTTTGCCTAACTCAGAATACAAGTTGCCATACACGCTTACACGTCCACAGGGGGTATAGGAGAAAACAATTTAGAATGGACACCTTTCGTCACCAGACATTGCCACAGTTTCTGATGGTAGGCAGATTTGGGACCGAGAAACGTTATCATTGTTTGTGGTGCAGCTTCAGAATTCGCGGCAAGGTAACAACAGAAAAAGCGAAACCCACACTAGTTCTCGCGAATCTCACTCTCGACAACGGATCACACTTCGCAGGATAATACCGGAGAATATGACCACTAGGCTGACGCCCCGGTGGTTTTCGCAAGATGTTCTTGCACCATTTTTAATATGGGAGTCACCGTTAAGGCGTTCCATTTGATTGGAGCTGCTTTCCCTATTCCGGATAGTTTGTAGTAGGGCTGTTATGTTAGCGACGACGGACTCCACTTTCAAGAGCGCAAGATGCGGACTGTCTGAACCAGGTGTTTTGTGTGTGCATACCCAGCGCAGCGCTTAGCCCATGCAACCGTATGGTTACGAAGACGGATAATTACATTGCAGTTAGTTTGCTGTTTTTAATCGTAAAGACGTGTTTACACTTAACGAACAGTCAGATGACCGTCAAACAACAAAGTCACGAAGGGTTAGGTTGTGACGCCGATACTTAACCATAGTGTAACAATGGACCTCACAAGGGTAGTAATAGCTACTAAAGTATATTTTACGTCACTGTAGTCGAAGAATGAGATTATGGAATGTTGTTTACTGGGTCCGAATTCGGTGAAATGCTATCGAGTGATTGAATGACAGTCCAAGAGCCATGAAATACAGTCATACGGTGGCTATATTGCCGCCATTTAACGTAAATTGACGGTTATTCAACCCTACAACAACCGCCACACACTGTAGTGACGGTGCAGGCAGCCGTGAACGAACCACTGTGGATTGTGACTATACAGTCATTTAATAGTCACATAACCGGGAAACTATTTTTTCAGGGCTGAATTCAATAGTTGACAGGTCAGAATACATTATAAGAAGACAGGACCAAAACTTGAGCACCATTTCGTGCAGGTTCCCGTTCTGAAAGAGTGCTATGGAATCGTCCACGGCAGTGCACACTGTCGGTCAGTAAGGAAGTCCGATATCCATGGCAAGGTCATACATCCGAGTCCGCAATCCATGGTTCTCTGGTCACTTCGGTTGATCCAATTCGCACGATCAAAAATGTCCGTTAGCTGTGGTTTTCCTCGTAAGGTTCCTCACGTTGACGAAGCCAACAATAAGGCGACAAGGCAAAGATTTTCCTTGGAGAATTCCGCGCTGCACCGTGTTATAGTTATGTCCTCACTGGCACTAAAAGATTACACCACAAAATTACATAAGTTCTATCATCAAGAGATGTCGCACAATTTAGAGAACGCTTTCCACTTCCAAGGACTGATAAAGAACCTCGAACTAAGTTTGCCGACATTTTGTGTTTGTTCGATGGCACCCCTCTAGGGTGTCTGAGCAGCGGATGTCCGTCTTTCGCCGTTGATTGGCTGCTTGAGCGTCCAATTGGCAGTTGGCTTTCATGGCCTGAAGGCTTGGTGGCGTTCGCCAGAAGATTTTGGCAGAATTTATCTCTATCGCTGATCCTCAGGCCGATCCTTAGACCCAAATCGCAAATTTAACCGAAATAATAGTTTTAACCAGAAGGTTTTGGCACTTGATGGTATTTATTCGGTACCACAAATATACCCAGGGGGTGTGGTGTTTTGTACCTTTATTTTGCTTCCATTATAAGATTACGCATTTTGTCAACTGCATAAACATTCTTTGTTTGAATACGAAATACTACAAAAACGCGCACTTATATAATTTCACGCGATATAAACATGAGCACGTGCTTCGACCCTTTTCTGATTTCGCCCGCGCTTACGGCGGTGCTAACTCAGGTATCAAAACATTTCGCAGTATCTTCGAGAGCTATTTATGTGCGCACTGTTCAGAAGTAGACCCCTGGACAGCCATTATTGGATCATTGTTTGTTCGCTCACCTGGGCCAACTATTTTAAGGAGAAAAATTATTAGTAGGTCTGTTCCATCAAACCTCTTCCTTATTGTGGACTTAATCTGGTGTTATTCCTATTTCTTTGCCACACAGTCCTGGAAAAGTAACTTATTGGGTAGCCAGACCACTACAGGGGAGCGGTTTTGCTGAAATTTGTCTAAGCGCACCCAAGGGCTTCTTTAGCCGCGGAATTCATATTCCTACTGGCTACCACGGTCCAGTACGCGCTCAGTATCCGCACACTGGAATCGAATTTTCGGGAGCTATGACTTGTCCCTGACGAATTACAGCAAACAGGTAATTGAGTTCGGAGTAGCTGTTCAAACTTTTGAGCCCCATTTAGGCATCCTGGGGTCTCAGCGATGCTGAAAAATTATTCCACCGAACTTTTCTCCCAGAAGTATCATTTGTTCAGTGGACAGTGTAATTTAGCGGGCTGCAAAAATTTGAACGTTTTGTGGGATGTTTTTTTATTTTAGCACATGCTTGAGTGTTCAGCTGTAGCGCCCTTCCGGTGCCCAGCTGCCATGCTACCCGAAGGAAGCACGAGGGCTCGGATAATGCCAGGGTGCCCTAGCCTAGACAGGGTAAGTCGAGAGGCGGAGGTCGGATTCGAACCACAGATCTTCCGTCAGTATATTTGCGCACATACACAACCAAATGCAACACTATGGTCCAAAAAGTTTTACTCAACTTGTAAAGGTTTTGCAGCTAAGAGCATTGTGCGGTCAAGGGGTCCCTGGCTCGGTATGATGCGCCCACGAAGACGGTTGGAGATTCTGCGGAGGAGCTGGTTTCGTAACCTGTTTATTCCTGTATAGAATTCTGAAATATTTTGCATAGGTAAGTGAAAAATAATCGTCTTATTGATCCGCGAAAACTCAAAATGAGGCAATGAGTCACGACCTATATAGGAAAATGTTTCCTGTTGTTGCAGCGGTCGTACTGCCAGCGGAAGCCGAGGAATTCGTTCCGGCTGATGATTTTCATGAAGATTTCTTTGACACCAGCATGCGCTGTGTCGGGCTGATGGAAAGGTTTTACCCCCACCGGTATGTTTAAACCTTGACCACGTTATGGGAAGAATCAGTGAGTTTGCTAGCAGAGCGCGTGGATAATACATTATTTTGCAGTTCTGGCACAAATGCAGTGGATCGACATTGTCTTTTGGATTCATGCAGCTCACTCTGTTACGCAACGGGGATTTCCACAGAAGTTTCCAACGCCAGAGGCTACGTAACATACGCCAAACCGTCGTTTGCTGATGGGTGCTTTTTCGGTGCGCAATCCAAAGTCCGCAGCAGAGCGGTGTCCAGCCCTTCTCCTGTCAGAGCGGTCTGAAAGATACCAAGTCTGGGTGCTGTCGGTGCGACCAGCTCTCAAGGGTGAAGATCACGTGATTCACTCGGTGCATGATTACAAGATATGACTGCTTCTTCATGTCAAATGCATTCCTGTTGTTAGTCTCCATCCAGATTGCTCAAATTGGTTTCTGGTATTGTAAGCCTCCCGGAATTTTTGTGATAGGCTAGCCCTGAGGCTCCTCCAG